GTCTAATGACCTTTTGCCTCTGGCGAGTTGTGCGGAAAAGCCGCGTGCAGTGCCTCCTACGTGGTTGCCAAGGCAGCCAAATTGCACTTCGAAATCGACCTCTCCAGAACGGCACTGATTGCCTTGGATTCTGCGGTTTTGGTAAAAGGTAAGGATCGTGGGCTAATGAACAACCTCTGCTTCTTCGTATCCAGCGCTTCGCGAAAAGTGTATTATAAGGATGGAATTTACCACAGAACCGACCAGAAGCATACTTTCCTCGTAAATCAGCAAAACCTATGGTGTTGGGGGTAAGATCAGTCAGAAGATGCTGTGAGTAAATTAGGCTTCTGTAGGACCAGTTCCATGCGATAGTGAGGCCTGGTTTGGGCGCCCAATAGGTTTAAATAGCCTAGGACGATTCTTACGACGTACACTCTCATGCATATTCTCGACCACACCTCCAATATAGGACTGTATAGTCGGTCATCAAGGCGACTCGTTAACGGCACCGTCCTCACCCGCTGTATGAGACTGATCTTTGGCGTGCCAATTGACTCAAATAATTTATGCATCTGTCTTTGACCGTTGTATCTTGGGCGCGAACTCACGTTGTGGTAGTACAGCCACCAAATTAACTGATGTGGTAGGTTGGTCGTTCCGCAGTGTTGCGTTTACGGTTTACACCCTGTGAATTGGTGAGTTTGAAGGATATCTGGATTACGCCCCACTGTCTATAATTATTCTGATTAAGTACGCCCAGCCAGTGCCATGCAGGTTTGCACACCATCCTTCCAACCAGACTACCAATAGCGATTCTATTCTTCTAACGGAATCGAGCGAAACCTACCCGAAAACCAGTGTCCTCATGGTTAGCGATTTCACCGCTTCTAATTTCGACTTCCGGGTCTGAGCTGTATGGGATTGCCAACAGCACTTGGTCATCAGTTGCTACAAATGGTACCGGAGCCAGTAATCTATTAGAAAGTAACATTCTGAATACCGATTAAGGAGTGTAATGATCAAAATTTACAGACCTTGTGTTTGTCTGACACAAGGAGAATGTATAGCGACAGCTTGGGCTATAGGTAGATCCATAGCCACTACGACCATCAGGCCAAATTACGAACAGGAAGATAAGCCTGACGCCAGTTGGGAGGATATTGTATTCTGAACAGAACTACTAGGAAGAGGTTGGTAGGAGTTGGCTGTCGGACGAGGGCACATCGGACGCCACCCGCGGCGTCCGCGAGCGACAGTGGGGAATGCGTCTCAGCGTTTTGTGCGAGAGCACGTCAAAGTCGCCCCTGAAGACCACTAACTAGCTTAGGCAGCCGTGATTGGCCGGGAACCTGGCTGTCAGTGGTGTGCACGTGCAAGTACTCGCGAGAGGCCCGGCGTTGCAAGAGCCACCTGGTGGAGTAGGGTCACTACAAGTGTGCTGGAGGTACAGGATCACTAACCAATGGGATCTGGCGATCAAAATGTGCAACTTTTCGAACATTCTATGTTCTCAAAGCCGATCTCACGTTAACTGGGAGATTTTCGCAGCATGAGGGGATAATCCTCAGCGATATCCTGGACAATCGCGTAGAGCGGTTCAATAAATAAACACCTACAGCCTATAAGTAGATTATTACTGAACTCAATTCCCTACCCATTCGAAGGAAATCATCCGTCCGTTAAAGATAAACGGAAAAGTTTCAGATAACTCCGAGCGGGTGAGCGAATTTAGGGACATCTTTCCTCCAAGTGGGAAGTAATTAACACTTACGCGAGCAAACGCGACATCGTAAGGCTGTAAAGGTGAATGAATTTTGAAGTTAACATGCAGCAAAACTCTCCCGAGCCGTTAAAAGATGTATGGGGCCAAAAACTGAATTCTCAAATATTTTGACTCCTGGAAT